AGTAGCTTAACCCACTGCACCATAAGGCCAGCCCATGCCACATGCCTCTTGGCCAAATTGTTAAACTTACCACTACCAAAAATTTATATTTATATATATATATATGTAATTTTGAATTTTAACCAACTTGCTAATTAAAAAATATTATCAAAAACATTTAATGAAAACAGCCATTTAAGAGCATGTAGAAATATTAGTTATATTATAAATTACTTTTAAATAATTGTTCTTATATCGTAGCAATGTTTTAGAGGAGGACTGATCATGCTGCCTATAGATCTTTATAAAAATTAGATCCCATGTCCTCCCTGCCCCCTGAAGCACACACACATATGTACAACACACACATACAGATACACATACAAATACACACACATACTCTGCTACTCCTTCCATTGTTCTCCTCCAGGCTTTCTGGTTTGAAGTCACAAATTGAAGTGATCTTGCATGAACTTGCATCAATTTTGAAAGAATCTTAGATCCCTTAACTTTCTGTTTGAGCACTCTGGTGCATAATCTGTATCTCAGGGATACTGAAGTCAATAATGCCTGAAGAGCACTTGGCATGTTGCCTAGTACATAAAATTTATTCAATAAGAATAAGCTTACGCTGTCTTTTTTAAAGATGTATTTGTTATTTATTTGAAAGAGTTACAGAGAGAGGAGAGGCAGAGATAGAGTCATATGTTTCACCTGCTAGTTCATTCCACGAATGGCCCAGGCTGGGTCACTCTGAAGCCAGGAGCCTGGATCGCTATCAAGGTCTCCTGTGTGGGTGCAAGGACCCAAGAACTGGGGCCATCTTCTGCTGCCTTCACAGACACCCTTCCCAGATCAGAAGCAGAGCAGCTGGGACTCAGAGTTATAGGTAGCAGCTTAAATTCTTGCACCTCAACACTGGCATTGACCTGGCTGTCTTAATACTGTTATTTAATTCAATCCTTCCTTGATAACCACAATTAGTAGGTGCTTCTATTTTCCATATCAAAAGGAGGAACCTGATGATCTCAGATACTGATTAATTTGTCCAAAGTCACATATTAGCTAGTAAAGAGCAGAAACTGCAAGGGTTTTCATCATTAACTTTCTGACTAGTAAAAGTGATTCACATTGAAGTGTGGCTATTGATAGAGTTCTCCTGGAATATTTTCTTTTCACAAAGAACAGCTTGTTCAAGGAAGTGAGCGTGGCATATAGCTGAGAATAGTTCTATCAAGTAGACATCCTTTTATTTCCTGTGTTTATTTACAACCAGAAGTTTGCCAAGCTAGTTCCAACTATCATAATTAATGCTGGAGTCATAAGGAATAAACAAATAGAGAAATCCTTGAATCTAACCCAGAGGTTTGATTTCCTGTGCTGAAGTGAATGCAATATGCTTCCACTCAAATCTCACATAATTGTTTTTCTCAATTATAAACCCAGAATACCATTTAAAAAGTTGTAACTTGGCAGTACGCTTCAAAGTTTTATTATTTTCTCAGTGCTGAATCACTTTTCCTCTGTTTGCCCCCAAAATGATAAAAGTTTCTATTAATTTGAGAAAACCATCTTTGAATGAAGTTTAAAAGCTATTGCACTTAGGAGATTTGAAACAAGATTTGTTTTTATCAATTTTGAAATAATCTGTTCAAAATTGAAGTTTGTAAGTGGTAATGGATTTCAAGAGAAAACAATTTACGTTGCAAAATTGGACCCATTAGCATGCCTGAGGCAGGCAGCCTTTCCACAGGAAACTTCCATTTCTAAGCCTCCTGTGATTGATCTCTTCTCTGAAGATTTTTAAATACCACCTCATAAAGTCTAAAGGAAAAAGAAACAGTAAAAATTTTGGTGAAAAAGGAACTCTGTATTACTCAAAAACACTTAGAATTAGTGAGATGCTACATACGTGTTTATTTTTTAACTAAATCAACTCACCATTTGAGTAGAGGTAGTTGTCTCAAATTTCATTTTATCTACACTTTGTACTTATTGTATTAATACTTCTTATCTTAATTAAGTGTATGAAAGAGTGTAACTGATAGGCAGGGAATCAGAAAGGAGTAAGTGAGCTGGAATTTGTGCCAGCCCTGCCTTGTCACTCTGTCTTCTTTGTTACTCCACCTTCCTAGGAAGGAGGAGAGGCCACAATGTCCATGTAGAGAAATCCCAGAAATCTTCCCATATAAGATCCCATGCCATGTGTTTATTCAATTATGGCTCCACCCCCTATTATATAAAAGAGGGTGATAATGTAAGTGGGGCCCTCTTTTGCCCTTGACCATGCTTGAGAAACGTTCTCTGGCTTCCCCTGCCTATCTCTCCTCATAGACAGTTCTCTGGACCATTCACATATCTCTCCATGTAAAGTGACCCACCCTCATGTGTGAATGTATTTCACTTTGTTTTAAATGAATCCTGCTCTCACTTATGCACTGTAAGGATATCTCTGCTATGAATTCTTATCTCTGTGAGAGTAAGAACCTGGATTAAATATTGGAATACCTAGGCCCATATTATAACTATAAATGGACATAACAGTTTCTGTCTTTTTACTCAGACATATGTTAATGTAGTTTTGCCTCTCATACACATATGTGTTTTATATGTGTGTGTGTATGTACAAGGAATTTTCAATAAATTCATATAAAATATGTATTATGAAAAGTCTATGTATGGATTTCAAATATTTTTGGCACCAAAACAGACTTTTAATTCTGTTGTCCCACAATCTTTTTGAAGTACCCATGTATATAAGTAATATATATGAAATTTGAGTTAGATTCACAAAAAACATTGTAAAGGAGGAAAATAATTTTCTCTCTACCTTTCATAGTTGTTAGTTGGGATGGACCTCTGCAGCCAAAGACAGATTAACAAGAGAAAAATTAAAAATTTAATACCATGCATATGTGGGAGACACCCAAGAAAAAGTGAAAAAATTTTCCAAGAGTTAGCTTTGAATGTAGGCTTAAATACAATAGATCCATTCTATCCACGGTTTTTCCTCCTGCAACTTCACTTGCTTGCAGCCACCTGCAGTCTGAAAATACTAAATGGAAAATTCCAGGAATAAAACCTTTGTAAGTTTTTTTTTTTTTTTTTTTTTAAGTTCAAGAGGCAAAGAGAGGCAGACAGATGGTTCACTCCCCAAATGCCTGCAGTGGCCAGGACTGGATCAGGCCAAAGTCAGGAACTAGGAACTTAAGCCAAGTTTTCCATATGTGTGACAGGTACCCAACCACTTGAGCCATCACTGCTTCCTCCCGGGCTATTGATAAGCACAGAGTTGAAATCAGGAACCTGAGCTAGGAATTAAACCCAGGGACTCTGAAATGGGATGTGCACATCTTAACTGGTAGAACAAACTCCTCCCTCAGTTCATAAGTTTTAAATTGTATGTCATTCTCACTACTGTGATGAAATCTTGCACTGTTTCATTCCATCCTATGGAGGATGTGAATAATTACTTTGTCCAGAATATTCACACTGTATATACTACTTGCCCATTAGTCATTTATTTGTTCTTGGTTTTAAGATCATTGACTGTTGTGATTAAACAGTTCTCATGTCCAAATGTCTCCTGTTTTATTTAGTATGCCTCCAAAGTGCAAGAGTAGTGATGGTGGCCAGAATTGCTGCATAGTGGGTTAAGCTGCTGCCTGTGATGCCAGCATCCCATATGGGCACCAGCCCGACTCCCCACTGCTCCACTTCCAATCCAGCTCCATGCTAACACACCTAGGAATGCAGCAGAGCATGTCAAGTGCTTGGGCCCCTGATACCCAAATGGGAGAACTAGAAGAAGCTCCTAGTTTCCAGTTTTTGTCTGGCCCAGCCCTGGCCATTATGACCATTTAGGGAGTGAGCCAACTGGTATATGAAGGTCTCTGTCTGTCTTTCTCTGCCTTTCTATCTATCTCCCCCTGCCCTCCCTCCCTCCCTCTCTCTCTCTTTCTCTCTCTCTCTCTCTCTTTCTCTTTCTCTCTCTCTCTCTGTGTCCGCCTGTCTATTCAAATAAATACATAAATAAATCTCTTTTAAAAAAACATGGTAGTGATGCTGGCAATTTAGATATGCCAAAAAAGAAGCCCTAAGGTGCTCCCTTTAAGTGAAAATTCTTGACTTAATATAATGTTAAGAACAAATATTCTACCTGTGAAATTGTAAAAAAGGAAAAAGAAATTTCATGCTAGTTTTACTATCACAGCTAAGAGGGCAAAAGTTATGGCTACAGTGCATGGTCTAACTTCTTAGTTAAGATGGAAAAGGCCTTACATTTGTGTTTGTGCATATAGGAAAAAACATCATATATCCAGAGTTTGGTACTATCTGCAGGTTCAGGGATGCACTGAGCGTATTGGAAAGTGCCCCTTCTGGTACAGCGAAGTGGCTGTTGCTGTACCATTTTCCACTGGAATAAAGAAGGGAGGCTCTGGGGTAGGTCCAGCTATGGAGAGGTGACCAGGAAAGGCACAAGGTAAACAAGTGTAAGGTTTATTATACAGATCTGAGTTATACCTTCTCCTAAATGTCTCTAGTGACTAAGTCACCCTTCTCTTAGTAGTAACCAGAGGGAGATACCCCTGCAAAGGGAGATGCCATTTAAAGATGTAAATTTTTCCAACAAGAGGCGAAAACTTTGTTTTCAGAGTTTCTCCTGTGTCTACAGTTTCTTAAAATAATTGTAAGGTATATTTTAGGGTACCATATTCTGATCTGCTATGACACATTTTGGGGTTGAATATTTAGGTTTTCCACACTACCTACAAAACTTGTTAGAAATAGAAAAGAGTTTAAGCTAGAACTTTCCTTTGCCTATGTAACAGAGAATCACCAAATGTTTGATATTTATTTTGAGAGCAAAAGGAGAATTTTCATTCATTTTTGCACTATGTTTCTTGCATATGTGTTCATATTTGGTTCTGTTTGTTACATTTAGTAATAGTCAATAAGATTAGACTAAATGTGGAAAAATTGAGTTATGGAATTGTGTGTATATTTACTTGTTTACACAGCGTTGGAGAGCATGGAAGGATATTATTATAGGGACAATGTTTCAGTGGAAGAATTCCAAGCTCAGATAAATGCAGCCTCATTGGAGAAGGTCAAACAATACAACCAGAAACTCAGGTATGTAACAGACAAGGTTGATTTTTTTCATTGACATATTTGACAGGAAAGAGTGAATGAAATTTCTGGTATAATTCATTATTGTAGATTATTAATGATGATATTTGTTTTGATATGTCTTCTTATGTAGGGTGTAATATTTCAAGTGTTCTAACGGCTGTACTGTTTCCAAATAAAATTAATTAATACAAAATATTTTGAATATTTTCATACTAATATTTTAATTTTTTAAATAAATAAAAGAAGGTGATGAACTATACGGTAGATTATTTCCAGGAAAAAGAAATGATTGACATATGCTGTGGTGCTGCCCCTGAGAGAGGTCACTGGATTAAGGGTAACATAGGTTCTTAATGTACCAGGCACAGCTGCTGGCCTCACATAGAGAGGGCATACTCAGTGCATGATATGACAGGCCATGTGCTGGGGTTTGGAAAAATACCTGCTCTTGAATACATAGATTACTGATTACATTTTATTATTTTCCCCTAAAAATAGTGTTACTGGTATCATGGTAAATGACAGAGAAATTTAACAACACAGGGAAATGTTGTCGTAATTTAAACACTGTAATTTTCTTTTTTTTAAGGTTTACTTATTTTACTAGAAAGAGTTAGAGGGAAGGAGGGAGGAAGGAAGGGAGGGAGAAAGAGAGAGAGATCTTCCATCAGCTGGTTCACTCCTCCAGATGGCCAAAATGGCCAGGGTTGGCCCAGACCAAAGCCAGAAGCCAGGAGCTTCATCAGGGTCTCCTAAGAAACCTGAACTTAAGAAACTTAGCATTTAATCTCATGAAAAATCTTTCTATTGACAACTCTGTCTGATAAAATTTATTCTTAGGCTATCTTTGAAATACAGATAGAAAATTAAAGCATTCACACAGAGCACATGGCCCTGAGAATACAACCCTAGACTCCTCTTTGATGAGAGTTGTAGTCCATTGCCACAACATCCTATCTCCTTGTCTCCAAAGCCAAGGTTATTGTGACCTCTTCTGGACTTGCTTCCAGATAATAATTTAGAGCACATGTCTTCTCGTCACTCTCCTGCTCAGAGAACTTTGCTGACTTCTTGCTGTTCTCCATGACAGTGAAGATCTCTCTTGACTTGCTCCAAGATGTCTTTCCTCTACCTGTGCATCAACAAAGCCATGTTCTATTTCTCATCATGCACTTCCCTGCCCCCTTTCATGCCTCTGTGCCCGTCATTAGCATCATCTTATCTCCTTGTGATTCAGTATCTGCCTTTGGGATGGTCTCCTTCATAAAATAGCTTTCTTTATTTGGAGGCTGGGGTGAAGCTTGGGCCCTCGGTTTTTCAGAACCTCCCTCAGAGATTGTCCCGTGCAGGCAGAAGTGAAGACCGATCTCTTCACTTCAGAAGTTCTCAAAGATGGACTCTTGACAGACAGCATTAATGCTGTGTCCTCTGTGAACCTGCTGAAACTCTCGGTTGGAATCAGCAGTCTGTGCTGTAACAAAGCCTTCCTGGTGATTCTTAAGCTCAGATTTCAAACCACTGTCGCAGGCCTAAATGACCATCAGGTGTGTTGTCCAGGCATTCATTTTACGTTACTTATGGTTATTATAAGATTCAGTGTTTCTCCTTTATAAAAGTGATGTGTATAAATTTGTCATCTTCTTTATTCTAGTGTGTGCTCTTTGAGATGAAGAATAAATTTATCTTGGTGTCCCCATTGTGTTTTTTTTTAAAGTGTTTTACATAAGCAGCTCTCCATGAGTGTGTACTTAGTTGCATTAGAATTTAGATATACTTTAAGATGATGGCAGTTGGGGAATCATTTCCAAACAGTTACACAGTTTCTGATGTTCTGCAGTACAGTAGGGTTGCTTTGTTCACAACCATTTATTACATGTTTTATAAAGAACTACAAGAGAGGAGTTTGAAGGCTCTCAACACAAAGAAATGATAAATGCATAAGGAAAATGGAAATGCTGATTGCTCTGGTTTGATCATCACACTTTGTGTCCATGTACCAATTTATCATACTGTATCCTATAAATATGTGAAAGCATTACATGAATTTTAAAAAGAATTTTTTAAATTATAAAAATGCTTAAATGTAACTAGCAGAGAAGTGGAAATGTAAGAAACCGTTCATACCCCATTCAGCATTTTTCTTATCTAAGCAGAAATAGGATGTATACTCATATAAAATGGATACCTGAGAAAATGTTTATTAATGATTCTTCATTAAGGAAATAGCACACATATCAATTACCTGTTATCTTCCTCTTCTAAGAGAATTTTATAATGTGTCTTTCCTGGAGAAAGCATTTTTAAAAGCACAACCTCCTCAGTACAAATGGAGTTCCCTTGTCAGCAATTACCTGGGATGTATCTCATTGCATATTAGATTTCCTTTGCACAGGAAGGCCATTATCTTCCAGTACTTCCAATGATGCCTCTCTTCCTGCTTATTTCTTGGATGAAGTGTTGATTTCTTCTTGAATTTTTCCGATTGCTCTGTAACCACAAATACTCCCTCTAAACTGCCCTGGGCAATCCAGTCTTTGTTTTCACAGCCTCAAGCCAACATTCATGTTTCTTTAAAGGAACATTTACTACCAACCTTGAAAAGAAACCCTCCGAGGATGTGAGTCTTCTCCATAGAACGCTGCTGTCTTTTATACACTTTCATTTGAAACCACTCTTTTTTTTTCAACTTTTATTTAATAAATATAAATTTCCAAAGTTCAACTTTTGGATTATAGTGGCTTTTCCCCCAATAACCTCCCTCCCACCCTCAACTATCCCATCTCCCTGTCCCTCTCCTATCCCATTCTTCATCATGATTCATTTTCAATTATCTTTATGTACAGAAGATCAACTTAGTATATACTAAGTAAAGATTTCAACAGACTGCACCAACATAGACACACAAAATATAGAATACTGTTTGGGTAGTAGTTTTACCATTAATTTGCATAGTACAACACATTAAGGACAGAGATCCTACATGGGGAGCAGGTGCACAGTGACTCCTGTTGTTGATTTAACAATTGACAATGTTATTTATGAAGTCAGTAATCACCCGAGGCTCTTATCATGAGCTGCCAAGGCTATGGAAGCCTCTTGAGTTCACCAACTCTGATCTTATTTAGACAAGGCCATATTCAAAGAGTAAGTTCTCTCCTCCCTTCACAGAAAGGTACCTCCTTCTTTGATGGCCTGTTCTTTCCACTGGGATCTCATTCACAGAGATTTTTTCATTTAGGTCATTTTTCTTGCCAGGGATTCCAATTCAATCCCATCAAGGTGTCATGTACCAGTGCCATCTTACTTGTTAAAGTTTTCACTTTAAGTTCATAATTGATCAAAAAGATAGGATTAAGTGTCAAAGGAATTACATAAATAAGACCAGTGTCTGAAATAATAATTATGAATTAAAAAGGAGAGAATGATCCTACATAGGAAGCAGGATACACAGCAGACTCATAGAATGGCAAATGCTCTAAACAGCACTCTGGCCTGGGAATCAGCCCTTAAGGCATTCGCATCTGGCTAAAAAGCCCATGAGAGTTTCGCAGGCATGGAAAGCCAAGACATTGTCAAAAGAAACCACTCATTTTGAACATTAGTTTGTTGCTTTACTAACTGGACTTCAGAAAATGCCTATTCTTCAGCAGTACAAACAACAAACAAACTCTTTAGTGAATTTTTTTATTAGAAAGTATTCTTTAGATTACAAGTTTCAGAACTAACTCAAACTGCTATAAGCAAAAAAATGTATTGGGCTGGCGCCGTGGCTCACTTGGTTAATCCTCTGCCTCAGGCGCTGGCATCCCATATGGGTGCCCGGTTCTAGTCCTGGTTGCTCCTCTTCCAGTCCAGCTCTCTGCTGTGGCCCGGGAAAGCAGTGGAGGATGGCCCAAGTGATTGGGCCCTGCACCTGCATGGGAGACCAGGAAGAAGCACCTGGCCCCTGGCTTTGGATCTGCACAGCACTGTGGCAGCCATTTGGGGAGTGACCCAACGAAAGGAAGACCTTTCTCTCTGTCTCTGTCTCTGTCTATAACTCTACCTGTCAAATAAATTAAAAAAAAATTTAAAAATGTATTGGCTTGTGTCACCAGGAGATCCCAGGGCTCTGGCTGCTTCAAGCACAGATAGATCAGGGGGATAATAGGCCTACAAGATGTTATTTCTTTCTCCATCTGTTGGTACTCCTATCTGGGTGGGCTTCAGTCTCAAGGTCATTTCTCATGTAGGTAAAGATGGTCGCTGTGGATTGGTGTTAGATTCTCAGGAGAGTTAGTCCCCCTGCTCCAGAGCTCAAGCAGAGTACATGGAGATGCATCCATTAGCCTGACCTGGGCCATCTGCCCTCTCCTGGGTGGGTTCAGCATCACAGAAGACTAGCGAACCATCAGGAAGAGTAAGGGTAAGGATGCTGGACACGAGAAACAAAGGAACCCATTCCAGTTACGGGGATTGCTCCAGTACAGCAAGGAACAGGTGGAAGTGGTTTTCTACTTAAAAGGAATGATAGGGACAGGCGTTGCAGTGCAATGAGTTAAGCCAATGTTTTCTGACACCAGCATCCCATATGTGTGAGCTGATTCCAGTCCCAGCTCCTCTGCTTGATTCAGCTTCCTGGTAGTATACCTGGGAAGCAGTGGATGATGGCTCAAGTACTTAAGTTCTTGCCTCCCACATGGGAGACCTTGATGGAGTTCCTGGCTTCAGCCTGGCTCTAGCTGTTGTGGGCATTTAGGGAGAGAACCAGTAGATGGAAGATCTCTCTCTCTCTCTCTCTCTCTCTCTTTCTTTTCTGTTTTTTTTTCTCATTGTCACTCAGCCTGCAAATAGACAAATAAATTTTTTTTTAAATTTTTTCCAAATATAAGAACACATCAAGAGTCACAGTGCTCTAAGTTATGTAGATTGTTTAAAAAACCCAGTGAGGGTAGACACTGAGGAGTAGCAAACTTAGCTGCCACTGGGAAAGCCTTCACCCCATATCAGACTGCTGGTTC